TTCTCTCCGCTCCTCGATCTTCCTCCAGGCTTCATCGGTGATCCACTCCTTCCTCTGAGTGCGCAGCTCACGCAGGTTGGTCTCGCTTGTTTCAATAAAGGCATTCTTGATGTTCGTCCACTGTTTTTCTACGCCGTTGAACCCGCGCAATCTGTAGGCGGATCTCACCGACCAGGAGATGATGGTCAGACGCGATGTCAGCGCTGCGTTTATTCCGAACATCAAGAAGGCTCCGTCTCCATTTTCGGCTGATGCAGATGTGGTCGATTTAGTTCTCTGTATATCCATCACGGGAGACCCATGTGACTTTATGCACTGGGCGATGGGGGAAGAGCGAACCCCCGATCACCATGTCGTTGTTGCCACAATACTCTGCAAGCAGCTCGCCGTTCTCGCTCATATCTCCGAGACCATGGCGTCCCATAATGCGCTCATAGTCCGAGTTGTCGGAACCGATCTTCGCATTGAAGTCGCCTGTCTAGATCTTGATATCACCTCTTGGAGTCTTATCCACGACAGCATTCAGTTGACTGTAAATGTTCTCTTTGTCCTGCAATTCAGCAGCATCGGTTGGCGCATAACACTGGATTATGGTAAGGTTTCGGACCCGTGTTCTGAATCTGGCAATGATTATTCTCTCATTGATAGGTTTCCACTTGATGAGCGCAGCCTGTGCTTGGGCGTTAAGCAGAAAGCCAACTCCACGATGCCGCGGAGCGTTTTCACCTCGCATACCAGAATATAAAAGTACCTCTCCCGAAGGCAGCTTGTGTTCTCCAAAATTCGACCAGCGGACTTCACTAAGTCCCAGGATTTCTAGCTTCATACGGCGGGCCTCACTGGCGAGTTGTGTCAGTTTACCCAGTTGGGCTAGCGTCAGTACATTCCATGTTCCAATTCTTGTCCGTTATTTAGCGCTAAAAGTCGTTGCCATAAAATCAGGTTTCTGTAACAATTTGAAGGTTTCGGAGACAGTAGGTGGTTGGCTTAAGGTCTCCTATCCGCCATGATGGGACTGCCATCTTGGGTATAGCTTTCGGGGAGAAGCATTTCGTATTCAGCCGCTGGATGCCAGTCAGACGCTGTTTGAGCCGCCCCTAACATAGAGAACAGACGCTCGGGTTTTGTAAGCTACATCCTCCGAAAAGGATGCAGCTCCCCCTTCCCTGTCAGCATACGACCAAAGTTCCCACCGGGGTTGGTTACCCGATCTTCCCTAAGGTTACTCGTACCCCAGCCGGCGCCGCGGGGTGGAAGGGATAGGAGTTACTGGGCAAGAGGCTAAGGACAACTTTCACTTGCGTGACGGGTCTATTTTATAACCTTCAAGTACGCGAAGTACCGGTCATTTGCCAGCCGAGTAATACAAACATGCTTAGTTAAAGTTCATATAGATTATGCACATCATTTGCGTTTCAATTCTATGTGTATCAGATGTTCTAGATTCTCTAAATTGTCCTGCACTTCAGATTCCTTGATCACCTGAATCAACCAAGGCATGCACGATGTCCTCACACATGCCTAATTTGGTTCCATTTGCTTGATTTGTTCTCGAGTTATGCAGAAATTTCTGTTTCATTTGTATGGGAGCCCCCCCTTACAGAAAGGGGAAGGGGTCTCGAACCATCATAAGAACCTTCCACGGCCCCAAAAACCCCTGTATACAAATTTTCACGCCAATCGGTTCAGTAGTTTCCGAGTCTATAAGGGTCAGACAGACAGACAGACAGACAGAAATTCATTTTTATATATATAGATAGAAGATAGATAGATAGATTGACAAAGATACAAGCGTTCAAAACCTAACACTATTTCACCATACATATTATTTGATTATAGTATAGTTGACAAAGACGTAGTTCTACGTCAAAACCAAATGCACAGATAATTCATGGCTAGATGTTTTGGTGACGATAACCTCAAAAGGTTTTTAAAACGACACAGAAGCAATTTTTCCCAAGATTTGAAAAACTTTGTGATATCATATTATTTGCAATCCTTCAATTTTCAAGAGCGACTGCATCGGCATGTAATGTTTGTTTTCAAAGAACTGTTCAGTATGCTCTCTGTTTGCAACTTAATTCAAGTTCTTGTAAAGAGTGGCTCCATTCCATGCTGTCTGTTTCTTGAAATGTAGAACATAGCATCATAACAAATTAAACTTTTCATAACAAACTAGGTATGCGCATTGAATCTACAGCATTCTTTATTATTGCGAGCTCTACATTACAAGCTCTGTTACATTTCGGACCGTTTCAAGGCAACAAGAAAAATCTTAATTCACAGCACTGCTTTCCGTCCATCAAGCTCTCGTCTCTTGTTTCAGCTACTCAAGGGGAAGGCAGTCCATAATATAATTCTGGGATTTGGTGTGCAGAAATGCTGAAATACTGAAGTAGTTAGGTAATGCTGCTCGTCAAATTCACGAATTAATTTGACCTCACACGAACATTTTACCTCTGTCTTTCCCTTCGGATGCGGATGTGGGCGGAAGGAGATTTGTTTTTGTATAGTTAATTTTCCTTGAGGGAGCTTAAAGCAATGTTTTAAATGCAAATCGCAGCAACCCAGCCAGAATTATTTGAGCCCTGGATTTTCTGTGATGAGGGTCGCTACCGCTTCGTTCCTCGGTATGTCCTTCCTCGAGATGGAATCCGAAAAATGTAATGAGCGTACAATTATGGAAAACAAGCACCCACATACGCACACGGCCGTTCAATCTCAGTCAGAGAAGAAGTAACTTCTACTCAGTTGAAAGAGACATTTCTGAAAAACGTAGCCTAATAAAAAAAAACATAAAATAGTGCATAACAACGTGTTTGGGGTATCATCCACCAAACCATTTGTGGGATAGTTTACCCATCCGGGATACAGTTTGTATATGGTATTTGTTTATTAGGGTAGGTCAGCGCTGAGTAAACTACGTTTTGGGAAATTTCCAGGGGGACCCTATCCCTGTCAACCACATAGCACCATAGCTCACATGATTTTGACATTTTTGAACAATCTGACACTTCTAGATAGAGCTGGAGCTTTTTTAATCAATAACTTCTCTCGGAAGTCATGGCTCTTCCTGTCAAATCGACATCACCATCGAGTAGAGGAAGACTTCTACTACTCGATGGATATGTTGGCTTTTGTAGGCGTGCCTTGAATTCCGAGAAATCAACAAGAGAAGTCATTGTTTACAAAGGCTGTAACGCCCTAATTCCAGCTCTATCTTGACTTTTTGGCATACTGACAGCGGTAAAACTGACGGAGGTACGACAGAACAAAACAGCTTACTCTTTTACACTTGTATCGCAGTGCTGAATGCTGGAAAAAGTAGTCTGTTGAAGTCATCCTCACACATTGGTGTGAGCTAAGCCTAAATGCGTGATTGTTGCCCCCGTGGAAATTTCTCTTTCATCTGAGTAGAAGCTACTATTTCTCTGAGTGAGATTGAACGACCGGGCATGGCAGTGAGAAGGATAAGTAAAACTCAACCATCAACAATTTCCTTCTGTCGCGTTTCGTCATTCTCGTGAAAAAGTGAAATTCGTTGTCCTTAAATGCGGATGAGAAAGAACGCACCCACGCATTCCGAGCTAGGGTGGGCTTTATTTTCCTAATCGCAAGTAGGCTTTTAGCGCGTACAAACAAACCATATGGTAAATACACCAAAGGTGCAGAATAGGGTTTTTTATGTCGTTTTCGTTTTTGCGATGCAGGTAGCTACAACGATGCTACACCAACATAATGCAGGGTGTTACTATGGAACACTATGGAAAAAGTGAACTGTTTGTTCTCAATGTCCTAGCCCTTCGTCAGTAATGATTTACTGTAAAGCTTGCAATTACGCTTATGCAAAATTTTATTAGACATTGCTCAAACGTCATTTAACACATGGAACGGAGTAAATCGAAAGGAACGATATGAAACGGAACGCAGAATCAAAACAAAACAGCAAATAAGGCTGCCAAAAACCCCTTTCTGATGCTCATAGGGTTACCAGAAGTTCAGATTAAAAATGACCCCCGATTATTTGCACGTTCAAATTAACGGGGTCCATGCTATACGTTGTTCTAGAATAGGTCCTCCATTAATAGTAAACCTGTTCCAGTAGTTGCGGTAGTTGCTTACTTTGGTTCCTATAATAGTGGAACGTATTGGTTTCTAATGGATTCCACTATTATAGGAACACTACTGCAACATTTTAAGGAAAAATAATTGTTTTCAATTTTTAGGCTAATATTAAAGTTTCAAATATGCAAATCTACTCTATTTTAGGAGAGTTATCCAAGCAACACACATCCCTAATAAAAATAACCATAAAAGAGAGCTTAACGACGTGTTCGGGGTATCATCCAAACCATTTGTGGGATAGTTTACCCATGCGGGATACAGTTCGTTTATGGTATTTGTTTATTAGGGATGTTCTATAACAGTTTATTTAAAATATGTATGACTGGTTCTGGATGTAAAGAAGTTTACTCAACATAATTCTATGAATTAGTGTCACTTGGGTGCCGATGAAAAATAAATTTATTTCGTTTATCCATCATTGTTCCGGCGTGAAGCCCATCCTGCAACTATATGTACACCACTATTACTGGAACACCTACCCTAAGTATGGTATGGCACCCGCGTTAATATTCTTTCCATCTCGGCGAGACGTGTCGGTCTCTCCGGAAATTGCCACAATACATTATGGGTAATGTCCAACTTTGAAAAGAAATGGCTCCACGTGTAGGAGGAGGCCATGATTGCACCCCTTACGTAACCGAAATCAAGGCCTGCTCATAATTCCTGGTAGTGTAGCAACATGTTTGGAGGGAAATGAAAATCAGGGAAAATTTTGTATTTGCACTGGAAACTTCAATTTAAGAAAGTTTCCGTTTTGATAGATTTGGTCTTTGATGAAAACATTTCCCCACCCTGTCACTCGTACAGTTACAGTTGAGTCAGCAAACGTATTATCAAAAGTTCTGTTTCTCTATTTTTCTTTCAATCTTTGACAGGTCGGATGGCGCATCACGGTCCAGTGGCACGCTGGTAATGTTGCCTGCAAGGTGTTCCTGTTCATGCGGGCATTCTGTCTGTACTTGAGTTCCAACGTGCTGGTGTGTGTATCCCTGGATCGGTGCTTTGCTGTGATATATCCGCTACGGGTTTCGGCCGCCCGGAAACGGGGCAAAATAATGCTTGGCGGAGCGTGGTTCGTCGCATTTGCAAACGCAATTCCACAGGTGAGTTTTTTTTTGCTTTCTTTTTTACTGTTTTGGAGACCGGGTAGTCAATGTTTGTACTACACTTTTATATTATGTTTGGTTAACGATTGTGAAAATATTTCGCCATGGGTTGAAAGTTGTCGGTCCGAGAAATAACTGGAGAGGAAGATACAGTTCGTTGTGGTTCGATGTCGGACAGCTGTCGAAATGGTGAAGGCATTGGCAATTTCCTTTCTCATAACGGGGATTTTTCAACTTGAGTCACGTACAATGCTGTTATGACAGTCACATGATTTATTATAGCATTGAGTGGGTCTTTCTTGAAGGCCTGTATAGAGATCGAAGCGAATCGAAAACCTCATACAAAATACTAAATTTTTCACCTGTGTGGAAAACGCAATTGGTAAAATTTTCACTTCGCTTTGAACTGTAAACAGATACGATCCAGTTTATTTTTTTCGCGCATGCAGCGAAAAGAGCAGCTGCTAAGCGAAAAGTTGACGTTTCGAGAAAGAGCGTATCTGTCAGATTTTCACTTCAACGGAGGTGTAAACTGATCGATTTCGTTTCACATGAACTGTAAACTGCGAAAAAAGGAAACTGAAAAATGTTCCACAAACATTTTTTCACAACCTTTCTCGCTAGCGAAATTTCATGATTTTTCGCGTGCTTCAATTTTCGTTTCGCTTCAATCTGTATACTAGGCTTTATTTAGTTTAAAAAAAATAAATACTTGAGGCAAACATTGACAATAGGACAACTTTAGTCCAATTGACATGGCTGGTACAGGAAAGCTCCATCTCGAAAAACATTTTTTTCATACAAGCATTCGTACAAAAAGTGTTTCGTTTCGAGATGCGCAATGTGGCCCCTTATTATATGAATCATATGTAACACTTATGACACAGAGAAGAACAGATCTTAATTCCTATTCCATTATCTCCTTCATCATATCGTGACGATCGTGTTCGTTATCTAACAGGGAGGGGGGGCTGAAACTAAAATGTTACCATTTCGAATTTTGATGCTTCCATTACTTTGAATTCGTTTTACTTGAGCTGCAACCTGAAAAATGTTCATCATGTCATCCTGCATACAACTGAAACCATCCAAATGGTTTCCTAAATGTTTCAACCTACATATCCTGCTCAATCTCCATCAACCGCGATTTGATTAACTTGATGTCTAACAACGTTGGCTGCCCCGACTTTTGTTTATGCATCCACTCATTCATTTCCCAAAGAAATAGCTTTTCTCACTGAAGATTAGACTATTCAGAACAAAGTTTTCGTGGTTGAAAAACTGTTTCATTTTATGCTTGGCTACCTCATTCCACAACCTGCTTCTATCGAAAAAAAATAGCACTCACGTGCCTTCCAACGCTCATACTGCCGTTCTACGCATATCTGTCCCATGTAGTTGGACGTTTTTCACTTTTGTTCATAAAACAGTACTTTTTAACGTAGACTTTGGAATGAAAATTGAAAAAAAACATATAATTTGTTCTGGGTTTGTATAAAATCAATATCAAGCCTAATTGTCCCATGTTGAAAAGCCCCTTTTATAATATGATAATACGCAGCATAAAGGTCAACTCCGTACGGAAGAAATTTGCATGTGCATGTCAACTCATCCAAAGTATTTCTTGAAATCATCGAAGCCCACGGTCAACGATCGTGTAACGTATTGATCTTTTGTCCACAGCATGTCAGCCGCTATAAATCTATGGTTGAACTCAAAATGATTAAGCACAATCTCCTTTATGCCTACGTTCATCTTGCTAAGGAGTAGTACAAGATGTTAAGAAGTTTATGTTCTAAATAGTGCATTCATCATTAGTTTCTTGAAATGCCCATACCTTTAAAAGATTTATAGAAGAAGCAATGTCAACAAATTTATTGTTGGTATAATTTAATGATCGAAAGCTATACAAACTATCCAGCATCTTCCAAAACTTCGCCGAAAACGCAAGCACGCTCATGCAAGCACAAGAGTAAAGACTTCAAACGCAACGTGGCCATCAAAGCAACACTGAAAGTAACAGTTCCTAGTGGGACTAACAAGCGTACAATATCCTACTTCATTGCAAATTTCTAGGCCCATTAAATATTGTTCGTATAAAAATAGGCTTCACTGATTTCATTGAAGGTAATTTCTGTAGTTTTCACCAACATATATTGATTCTGTTGAAATGTGAACCATGCGGTAACGTATATTTCTTCCAATGAGCATATATGATACGTATTTCGACTACAATGTGCAGTCTTCATCAGTGTCATTCCCACTAAAGAACTTATCAAAATCTGACCCCCTTAAGTACTCATCCCCTAGCACAGTGGTTCAAAACCCCCCAAAACGTGCGTTTTTTATTTTTCGGTATGAAAACGACATTTTAGAAGGATGGTGTCTTCAGAAAAGTTGCAGAGTTTTCAAAGGACTATCGATATTGCTGATCTATCCACCTAGAAGGGAAGGGCAAAATTAAAATTTTACAAACTTGCTCAAATCATGTTGGTGTCTTCAGCAAAGTTGTAGATTATGTCAAATGAAACAACTTTGCTGAAGACACCAACTTCGTAAAACGATTGCGTAACGAGTTAACGAACGTTTTCTTTAAATGACCCCCCAAAAACAGTTTTTTTTTAAATAACTTTTTTGGACGCGATTTTATCAACAAAGTTTGTTCTAGAAAGTTATTTGCAATCACAAAACACACATTTGACCCGAAGACACTTTACCTCTCTGACCATAACTGTCAAAGTTATAAACAATATTATAGTCAAAATACGCATTTTGTGGATCGTATCTTTTTCGCTTACGTTTATTTTTTTCTCGCATGCAGCGAAAAGAGCAGCAGCTAAGCGAAAAGTTGACGTTTCGAGAAAGAGCGTATCTGTCAGATTTTCACTTCACTGGAGGTGTAAACTGATCGGTTTCGTTTCACATAAACTGTAAACTGCGAAAAAAGGAAACTGAAAAATGTTCCACAAACATTTTTTCACAACCTTTTTCGCTAGCGAAATTTCATGATTTTTCGCGTGCTTCAATTTTCGTTTCGCTTCGATCTGTATACTAGGCTTTAGTTGGAAAAAATACCTACTTGAGGCAAACATTGACAATAGGACAACTTTAGTCCCATTGACATGGCTGGTACAGGAAAGCTCTATCTCGAAAAACATTTTTTTCATACAAGCATTCGTACAAAAAGTGTTTCGTTTCGAGATGCGCAATGTGGCCCCTTATTATATGAATCACATGTGACACTTATGACACAGAGAAGAACAGATCGTAATTCCTATTCCATTATCTCCTTCATCAAATCGTGACGATCGTGTTTGTCATCTGACCGGGAGGGGGGCTGAAAAATGTTACCATTTCGAATTTTGATGCTTCTATTCCTTTGAATTCGTTTTTCGTCCCTTCAGCTTCTCAATGGCCCGAACATTCATGAAATTGCCAAATGATCGCAGACTTCCGCCTCCAACAGTATGGGTCCTCTACGTTGTCGATCCTGCACCTTCGCTTGAACTGCCTCCGCCATGGTTCCGATCTTCCGGGATTGGGCTTCTTAACATGGTGGGAGCTCCGGAACTACTTTTCTTTAACTTGAACTTGTGCTATGTCCAGTGTTCTGGGCCCATAACCACTTGTAAATGCAGTGAAATAAAAGACGTCTGATCTTGAGGAATGCTTGGAAACGAATGAAAGTTTTATTTGACTAACAAACTAACAGTGGTTACTACGAACTCGCGGATTACTTAGATTGAGATCAAAACACTTTTGTTGATTGTTCACGTACACTAGTAAAAATCCACACATAACTAATAGAAAATTTCTATAAAATATTAAGCATAATATTCATTTGGCCACACATAATTAGATATCATGGAACAAAACACATACAGATTATGTGTCATATAAACAGTATGTGTGATCACATATAGAGATGATATGTGCAAGTGAGATTTATGTGTCTGGCATATAGAAACTATATCATAAATCTAATTGCAAAAATCTATGTGTGGAACACATAGAAACAATCATTGACTTTTTCTCAGTGTAGAGCTATTCAAATTAACTGACACAACTTTAACCACAAAATTCATTTTTCTACTGACTAATACAATACCGAAACTATATGAATTGAAATTCTACTCAAAAATACCAACTGACTAACCAATCTACACATAACGGCGCCGGTGGTGTAGTGGTAAGTGTGATTACCTCTCACCCCAGCAGGCCTGGGTTTAATCCCAGTCGGCGCCGCCGGGATGTTCTGAGGCATAACATCTCTGATCACGCCTTCCTTCGGATGGGAAGTAAAGCCGTTGGTCCCCGGTTCATGAGTTGATGGGTCGATAGGTAGGGTCCAGGTGTGGGAGCTGCCTTCCTGGCACGTCGGTAGCATTGGTGCTCAGCACGGAAAACAAGATCGACGGAAAAAACAAACCAAAGGAAAAAAAAACCAATCTACACATCCGACGGCTTCTCGCTAGCTGATTTACTTCTTCTATTCTCCTGATGATTCATCTGCTTGCTCCAATTTCTGGTTATCACTTTCTGCCACCCACTGAGGGTGAAAACCGCCTTGGTAGAATCCGATGTGTCCGAAACAGAGCTTTCGTCGCTCTCCTTTCTACTGTTCTGCTGCTCACCTTCTCTTGCTCTTTTCAACGAGAGCTTATCCGTCTCCATTTGTTGTGCTGGTTCACCGCTTTCCTTTGTGTGTGAACCACCGTCCGTCTTCATTTGTTGTGTGTCCGAGGGTTCATCCGATCTCGGTTTTGCTGTGTGTGACACACCAGTCGACTCCATCCGTTGTGCTTATTCACTGTTGCCGGGCTTCGCTTCACCCACCAAATTGCCGTTGCGAGCACGAGGTTTTCTCTTTGGCAGACGATGGCAGTCCAACTCCATACTTCTACCATTCGTTGTATTTTCCCATACTTGGACATGACATTCCGAATCTCCTTGTCATCAACCTCCGGTGGCAAGTTAAACAACCTGATGTACCTAAC